TGAAAGCCACGTCGATGAGTAATCGACCCAGTAGGTATAGCTGGAAACAGTGCAAGAGAGTAAACAGTCAGCCGTATTTTATGTTTCTGGAAGGATGGGGGTAGGACATCGTTGACAGATATCGGGATAAAACTTACCTAAGCCAGAACTTAACCTAACACGCGAGTCGCCTACGCGTGTACTTGTTTCCGTTGGCCCTTTGCCACGACTCAGCAGCAGTAGCAGCAGCAGCGCCGACACGAAACGAGCCAATGAAGCAGCAAGCAGGCAAGCAAGTAAGCGCTAGTTAACCAGCCGCTCGCTTTAACATTCAAACGCGCCGCTCCACGACTAGCCCGCTTCAGCTAGCTCCTCTCACGAAGCGATCGTGGCGCACGCGTTTCACGCTTCTTGGTTATATTTGGCAGGCCCGTACGCGCGACCATGATAAACACGCATGCGAACCGAGGGATTCGTTGGAGAACGCCACGATAGTGTGTTCCATCTTCTTCTTTGCCCTTCTTTCCGCTTTCTATTTGCTTTTCTGCGATTAGACCATTCGCCAGGCTAGGTGGTCTCTTGTACCCGGTAGACATCTCTATGTTGCGCTGATCTTGCGATCATGCGTTGGGCTCTATCGATTCCTCGAACCTGCTGTGGTAGACTTCTTTTCAGGGCTGACGGATGGCACGCTGGAGTCTTTCGCTTCAAAATTGATGAAAATTTATTAAAAACAATTACAGTCTCTGGATTAGTCAATGCACTCGAATCGTACGTGTTAGTACGAAGGTCTTTTTAGAGAACCGAAGTGATCTCGTCGACTTCTACTGAACTCGTGAAAGATACCAGTATGCCACTCCCGGATTTATTCAAATCCTTTTCATTTCTTCGATGCTTTCTCTTTACCTCTTCTTTTTTTCAACACCGGCTACAATGATTCAGTTGTGTATGCACATAGAGCTCGCATAACTGCATAAGGCTTGCAAACTGTTGAAGGGAAACAAATTTAGGATCACTGGGATAACTGATAGAAATTAGGATCATCGTATCGATATCGATAATCTTAGTTGATTTTAGTTGTGTTCGGTTATTTACACTGAAGCATCTAGTGGATCCTTGATTGGAGCTCCATGACGTAGACTATTGGATAAAGTAGTGCAGGACTGAAACCATGCGTCATCCTTAGACGAGTATCGCAATGCGAGACTCATAGGGTGCGTCATTGGTCGTATCTGATAAGCGGATAAGACGCAGACGTTGTGTCACCAGGTTCTGCCAAGTCTATCTAGCACCGAGGCACCGATATTAACCTCGCTTAACGTGCTCCATCGGCGACCTGGTGCGAAATCCATCGTTAGACGCCTTTCGAGAGAAACCCAGGTTTCCCATTTCCTCTTATCAGCCAGATAAGCGCGGAGGCCCAATGTCTATCAATAAACAAACGCGTAGAGGAGGAGGCCGATCAAAGTACGGTTGCACACAAGTCTCTCTTTTCATAGTGCATCGACGAGTCATGCCACAGACTCTCAAGCTTCAGGTCCACTGTATCGCGTTCCTGTCGACTGCCTTGAGTTCGTTCAAGGTGATCCGCCGTCTGAACTGTCTCATCGTAAGTCCTCCTCGCAAATTCGACCAGTTCCAGGTCCCAGTCGGCCATTTTCCCTTCGTTTTCCCGCGTAAACGAACGATCATGGCGGGCACGGTTACCGCGTGTGCCAGAAAAGTTCCGCGAGCCTAGTGGGCAAGATGCGAACTGCGTCGTTATTTTCTAGCGCAACGCGTATTTATACCGCGATTTTGTGAGAAACTCGCGACATCGATATCATCGAATCTATTCGACCTTGAAGACAAAAGGCCCCCCGGGTTTTATTAATAGTCAGCGAACTCTCTCGAGGATCTGCTCAGCTCCCTCAAGCATCGCACTTCGCTGTCTCGATGTCTAGGACTTGGAATCGACCAAGTTCTTGGGGTTGGGAGGTAGTATCCTTTGTCGGGAGTCTTTGCTTTGGCTGTGGAGCAGGATTTCGCTGATGGGCAGCTACTAGTAGAGGAGTTCGCATTGGGCTGTAGAACTGGTGAAGTGGTTCATATGATAGCGTTTAGTATGCATTTGGTTTGCTTTTACATGTGTGTTTCGAGACACTCGTTTGTTTGGTACAAGATGGAGACGTAGAAATGGGATTTTTATGACAGTTGTTTGCTATAGTGTTAGTGCTATGCGATTATTGCGTTGTTTACGAGTATCTAGGTAATTTGGATGATTTGTAGTAGGAATAGGAATTTTACCAGAGTGTATAGAATTAATGAGAGATTATTAATGGATACATGATCTTGTTATCTGTTGAACAAGTTGTAAAATACGTATTTATTATTTTTCTGTATTGTAAATATACGAGGGACACATTTAAATCACGAGTAATCTCCGGTTAGGTATTATTAGTCTTGCAAGACACAAGTAGGTTCTTCCTCTTCGCCAGTAGATGTCACTGTGCTGCCGAGATACTTCTAATATAACGATAAAAACGGAGATAAAGAAATTCATTCACAAAGAGATAAATAATTTACTTAGGAAAAGAGGTACTTGTATGAAGTGAGTTGACCTTATCAGTTAGAAGGTTAAGAAATGATGTCAATGATGCATGGTACGTCAATAAAACCATATCATGCAATAGTCCGCTTTTATAATTGTTGCAATCAAAAATCGGTCACCTTCTGCGTCATTCCAATTCTTATATTAAATATTGTCATCCTTATACTTGACCAATTAAATACTTGCATCTTTCAAAATTCTCACACCCAAAAATTCCTGCGACGTATCAGTACATGCCACACAAGGAATCCTGCCAATCTTCTGCCAATTCCATTGCAAATGCTAGATTATCTCAACTTTGAGAATTCAGATCACACAATTTTCGAGTACATGGAGCAAACGTTTACAGAACTGTTTAAATCGAATTATGTGTCCCTATGGACCAGTATCTGCAGAAGCATTGCTCTCTGAGCGCTCCTGAATGCTCAAAGAGGGGACCAAGTTACCTCACGCGATACTTTCACGACGTGGGAGGCAGATGATACTTTTCAGAGCTTCACCGAAGTTAGGCTTGGGTCTATGTTTATTGTTCCCTAACATAGACCTAGAAAACTGGCACCAGCAACGCTTTCCCTAGATTTACGACGCAAAGGGTCTCTCCTCAAAGATGGGGAACCCTTTTGACATCTTCAGACGAGTCGCTATCGTTTCTCCAGCACTCGCGTGGCTATAGCGAATTCTCATCTCACGTCACGAGCTATTCGAATAATTTTCCAATTAAACCTTGACTGCTATGCGCTTCGGCTGAGAGACCCTTGCTGCGAGCAACGCTTTTCGTTCAGTGCTCGGATAAATTACGCGTAATGGCGCGGTGTTGCATTAGTATGCATCCGATACACGGAACATGTTAGATGTTACATAATAGGATTCCACACACGTGGGATTTATTGAGTTTTAATTCCATCAGAACGCGTCAGCGAAGCGCCAGACCATTGAAATGCTAGTATTTATATCAGGTGCTAACTTGTCATCTCTTTCGAGTCTTGCGTCTTGTGTGACGAATATACACGTGCTTCAGCTCTAGATATATTTGCGTATAGTCTCTGCCGGTCATAAGTATTCGGATACGTTGGTCGATTTGTAGCAATGACAGATAAATGTTTCGAAAATGACACACTAACGACTGAAGGCGATACTTAGCGTATTTTTACGAGATCGACAAATTATACGTTTAAATTATTCGTTCGAGAGTCTCCTAGAGGGTGTGCAGAAGTTCATAATCCATTTCTCGGCGTGTTCATCGGAATCTGACAATTTATTTAATATTCAAAAACGATATTGACTTAATTTTTATACAAATACAGGGTGTCCTTTAATACTAATAATAGAAATGTGTATACATTTTTTGGACACCCTGTAACTCAAAAACTAAACATAATAGTATAAAGTGCACACTAGGCAACATAGTTACATCGTTATAATCGTCAATTTTATTATCCTTGATTACACAAATTTTGTATAATTATTTTATCTACGATTCTCTGGGTCAATTATTGCCAAAGATGATCAATTATCTGAATACTTCAGACCACAGTCCATTACGTAATAGGTATCTTCAAGGCTCGTAAATAAATTAGTTCCCGCCAATAACGTGGAATATAACAGGCGGTAGGTACTGGCGATAATTAATAGGACACCCTGTATCGCGTATGTGCCCAAAGGCGATAATAAAGCCCAATAAACGGCAATGATAAACACGTCGAACCTTATCAGAAACCGGCGAACCGCCATTCCTCTTGACCGATTGCACTTCAATCCCAGAATCCCGGCGATGGTGCAACGATCTTGCAGATACCATGCACACGTGGCTTCGCGACCAACCGACCAGTCTGTTCTAATTACGCGCGATATGTATCTCCGTCACCGGTGTAGATCGGAATTTAATCGCGCGGTGCCACGAAAGCTGTTGCTCCCGTTCGAACCGCGCTCCTCCGATTTCGTAATTTCTATATGTGTCAAGGTGCGCGCGGCGAAGAGACAGAAGGAGAGCAAGAGAGAGAGAGGCAGATAGAGAGAGAGACGAAGAAATAGCACGCACGCGTGTGCGAAAACGCGTGTGCACCGCCGTGGAAACCCCCATCGTGTGACGGATGCACCGTAAGCCTAACTGACGACCTCGTCGTGCACCAGGAAGCGGCAGCGTTGCCAAGACCGATCCTGAGGAGCGTGCCGAACTTCGCCATTCCGAATAAGCGAGGGACAAATTTACGTAATACTCTCTTACGCTCTCTCTCTCTCTCCCTCTCTCACTCTTCCACCCTATTCTTCCCTCTGGTCCCCCTTTCTTGCCGTCTCTTTTCGTTTCCCCTGCGCCACCACCGGTCCCTCCGCCGCTTCTTATCCCGCGAAGCTATTCGTTTTCGAACGAGAAAGATAGGAAGAGAGAAGAGGAGGACGAGGAACGATGAGTTTAGAGAAAGAAACAGGGAGACGAAGAGAGAGAGAGAGGACGGGTGGTCAGAGCGTATAGCTCACCACTGCTGCTCGGTATTTTTAGTGCGACGAGAGTATTTGGCGGGGCGCACCGATTCGCCTCCTCGTCTTCGTGAACGGTCGACGTCGGCCGTCGTCTCCGTGACCGCCGTTGTGGTCGTGCCTCTTTAGTGCCTTCGTCGGCGTCTCTGTTGCGCGATCGATGATGCCCGCACCTCCGGCCGAGTGATGAACCTGGGGCCAGGAGCGCGTCCTCACTCCCCGCCATCGTCGTATCTCCATCGATTTCATCTTCCGTATCACGAGATCGCCCTCTTCTTCTTCTTTATCTACGCGTGTGACGTGTGATCCGCATCAGCGTGGCTGTGAGTCCATGTCGTTTCGCCATTGTCCCCTGTGCCACTCGGGGACACCTTACTCTCTCGCATGTGTCACGCTGAGCACACCAGGCAAGGTCTAGCGGGACGACCTTGAGGTTGTGTTCTAGCCAGAATTCGAGGAGTCGTTTCGTTGGAGAGTTTCGTAGAAATCGCGTGGAAATCTACCGACGTGTACCAGCGCCTACGAATGAATTGCTGAGGTGGAAAAACAAACAGGATTACCGAGAAGCGGCAACGTGGAATTCCGAATCTCGATCGTTGGACGAATCTTCTAGTTGATCCGAGGTTGCTCAATCGAGATTGGGTTTCTGATCGTGTCGGGGGACCTGGTGAACCGCGTGGTCTCGACACTGCATCCCGATGTTCATCTTCGCGCCACGCGACAACATGTCGACGTCTCGTCAAGGTTCGACGGGCCGGCGAAGTCGGTACGCGCGCTCGTCCACGACCACCAGCGTCACTCAGTTGCTGAGTGACTCGTGCTCGAATCTTCTGCAACGGTTGACCACTAGGGTACGCGGTATGTCGACGGTGAACGACAATGTTGCGAACAAACCGTCGATTAACAGACGCTCGCCAATCGTTAGCCAACTGAACAGCGCTAGAGCACGCTTGGAAGACAAGTACTGTACCATCCTGGACAAGTATTCGAGGAAAAAGCACCACGACCAGACGGACCATCCGTCCATTGACTATGGACGCAATCGAGAACGAGATCGCACCTATTATCGTCGCGAGGATAGCCCGTTTGTTCGCGACGAGAAGACCCTAGAGCCTTCGATGACTCGTACCGTGATCAAGAGCCCAACCAGCGTGGTGCTGTCCGAGAAAGCTTACCCTTACGTCAAGTCCTCCACCGTGAAGGAGTTCAAGCGCGATAAGACACCAGCCTATCACCGCACTGACAAACACGCTTTGCTCAACTCGGACTCGTATCGAAGGTACGGAAGACACAAGTCTGGCCACGCAGAGACTCGTACCCGGAAAGTGAGACCGTATCGGAACGGGAAGAGCGAACAATTGGAGTCCTCGTCTACTGCTCTTCGATTAGCCCGACCAACGAAGGTAGACTCTTCGAGTACTAAAGATACGAACAACGAAGACCCTGACAAGACACCGACCGGCAGCGTGACCAGGGACAACATCGCGAACGACAGCACGGTTGTCACGACTGTCGAGGCTGTCGAGTCTGAGGACAGTGATCCAGTGATCTCCGAGAGAGCGGCGAAACGCAAAGAGATCCAAGGTTTGATCTTGAAGTATGCAGCCATGGAAGAGACGTATGCTCAGCTGGCGGCCGGAGGCCAGGTGAAGATGAGGCCCAGCACCACGGACATAATCGCCAGGAAGTATAGGAAAAGCACCCGTCAGAGCGAGCGAAAAGACGCGTCGAAGAACGCAATGGCCGCGAGTGTCGTTAACAACCACGCGGACACGGTTCAGAGGTGGACGAAAGCGTTGTTCTGTTCAGCCCAGAAAGCCCTCGTTCCTGTTGCTGCTGCTGCTGTGTTGTTGCGTGCCACCTTTCTGCCACATTCCTCTCTCACAGCTGTTTGCGCGTTCGCTCTCGTTAATAAGCCTATCCTGGCTGGCTCCCTGCGCCGATTCCAGCGACTCGCGGCGATCCACTAATCGATACCTGTGTCTGTACGTTGTTCAACCAGAAATAATCACCTGTTATGAACTTTGAACCATCGAGAGAGTTGGTGCACCCTCGCGATCTTTCGCGCCCTTTCGAGCTATCTTATCGAGACCCGCGTGTTGTTGGCTGTCCCGCGGGTTGGGTCTGGTGTTGTATGGTGGTCGTGTAGTGCTTTGAAAGACGGTCCAGAGATTTTAGAATTTGTACAGTTGGTGGAATTGATATAGTAACGAGGTTGTAAAATTGGTCAGGTGTTGAAGTTTACGTGTTTTGATCGCTGAAACAACAGTTTGTGCAACTCGAGCATCGTTTCGGCCGGTGTTATATCGCCTTGGTATTGCCTTTGTCTTTATAGTATATTTCACTTCTCTAAAAACAAATTTGTTAAGGTCAAAGGATAATTATTGTAGAGATAATTACTTACAGAGAGAAAGTAAATATAATGGTGTCTCATAACGGATGCTATATCGATGCAAATTAGTCTATATGCAAAAATAAGTTGAAAAAGAAAAATGATGAAAATTTTGTGACATTCTATTTTCGAGAAAATTGGATTTAAAAATTTATCGTGTACCTATCAATTTTGTTAATTCCTACCTGGAAAACGAAATTCGGTTAGGTAGGATGTTATTTACGAACAAAAATAAGTCGAGAGTGTAGAATAAAATATTTTTGTTGGCGACTTCATTTTCCAGAAAATTGAGTTTGAAATAGGAATCGGCAACAGTCACGCTGTGTATATATGTTCAGTCAGTGCGCATATACTCAAATATTCAAACTCTATTTCCTTTAAAACGAAATCTTAGATGGGAAAAGTGCATTCTACATTTTCGACTTACTTCTATTTGTAGAATCATCTTTGCTCAGGTGTATCGTCCGTCTCGAGACATTGTGTATACCTCAATATTCCTCAGAACTTAAAAATATTTTGTACTGAATTTTAGAAAACAAATTCTATAAATATAGTTTGCAGCTTTTCGCACGATACACACACGTTGTACCGGCTTTTGTTGTCCAAGGTTCAAGGTGTTTCCGTAAGATACATACGCCCCTGATTGCGGCTACACCAATGACAATCGCTGATTAAGATCTTACCGTATCAGTTCCACTGCCTGTACGTTTCAGTCTTTGTTAATTTATTAGGAATCACATTTTTCTTCCACTCCATCGTGCTAATAGTTAACAGTAGGTGGTTCTACAAACGATTCATAAATATTTAAAGAACAGAATTTCAGTAATATAAAGTATCAGGTTCGATGCTCTTACCATCATTCTGCTATATACTGAAATCTCCAAATAGGGCTTAAAATAAAAAATCAATTGTATCGGGCAGACTTACTGGCATTGTCTGTAAGCAGACAAGGTACCTATATACAAGGTTCTGAATGCCGACAGACAGTCTGAATAGTCGGCGGAGTTCTGTAAAATATGGACACACGATATATATGCAGATAATTTGCATATAGTACAGCCCACGATGTAGCGAGCTCGTAAAATCGTAAAATCAGTGGACAAAGTAATCATGTTTCTGATGACGGGACAAAGAAGACGACAGAAATGTAGGTGCATAAGAACATGAAACATCGTCCAAGTCCATACGAAGAAATTTTTAATAAACGAGTATCAAGTCAATGCACTTTACACTCGTGTGTTGAAATAAATATTTATACGTGTAGATTCTTTCTTAATCGGGTTCCACAAATCCAAATACCTGGATAAACAAACGATAGCTTGATTTGAAAACATTCATGTTATACATAATTTATGAGTTGTAAATAATAAATGTATAATATTTATTATTTACGTGTAAAATATAGACGTAATATATTACCATTTCTTTTTCTGTTTTACAAATTTAATTAAAATGGGTATATTCTTCTTTGCAAGTAAAATATAGTTAGTCGTAACTCATTATTTCTTTATGACACAGATGGGTCTACAGCCCTAAGTTATCAGTCAACACTATTACTCGATGATCTAATTTACGATCTCTACATAGTAGCCCCTCTGCTATACATTATTCGTGGATGTGTTTACATCTTACAGAACTCTGGAATGTCTATAGACATAAAGAAAGCTCGCATGCAGACACATATCCAGACGATGCCTGTAGTATGTATGTCGCTTTAATTTACAACAGTATCATGGCGCATCTTGCACGATTTTATTCACCTCTGCGCGTCGTCTTTGTAGGAGAAAGCCTTCTTTTTTTACCTCGCTCTTGAAACAGAAGACGATGCACAGGAGTGGGGAAGTTCATTTTATTCGACAATAAGACCGGAACAACATTAGCTTACTTCGTTTCATTCTTTCAAATATGGCAACGCCATTTTTTTAGTCGATTAGTTTCTATGAAAAAAAAATCATAAGGATTTATTATTGATATTTGATAATATAAATAAAGTAGATGAAAGAAATGAATTCAAAGTAGGAAAATAAGTATCATTTTTCCCAGTGGATAACCTTAATTTATAGGTTAAATGAAATTAATTAAAATTTAAAAAAAATACAATGAAAAATGTGAAACCATTAAGGCTGATTTTAAAGGGAAAGACTTACCGAGTTTTAACAATTTGAAATTTTCAAAGACACTCAATGATCGTTTTTCGAAGCATTACCGGATCTCCCTACAAGGATAATAAAATCGTTTTAACAGGAAAAAAACTGACTGGTTATGTAAGTGAATTTTTTTTCTCTCTGGCCGACTGACTTACTGCGATTGCCGCGTCGGCGCGTTGAAAAATTCTCGATCTCACGTTCGATGTTCGACTAATCCGAAATAATTGCGCGTTGGCATCGTGTCAACGATCCATCGAAGCTGCAGTTATTCGGCAAGTTGTTGTCGAGTTTAGCAACGATGATTTGCAACATTTCTCGAACCAACGCTGTCATAAGTTTCCTTTACAATTTCTTATATATTCCAGTATAAAATCTGATGCACATATCAAATTGTTGCACAATAGATGTTGCTTTCGAGACAGGAGAATAACAAATTGCAGTCCTAGACTAAATAAATTTTAGTGCATATTTTAGTCACGTAATAACTATTTACCGTGTGAGATCCATTCATTTAATAATATTCCAATTATGGTAACGAAAATAATCGATGCACTCTTTCCTTCTTTTCAAAACATTCGCATTAACATAACCTCCATTAACCGTGAAGACATTTCGATCAAATTTAAATTTATAGGAATAAATATTTATACAATAAATTATATCTCTGTATGTTGCACTTTCAAGTTCTCGTAAACGATTATTTAATCAACGAAGATGGATGGTAGATTTGAATGTTCTGAACAGAACGATATATACAAACGAAAACGATTCTCAAACGTTTCTCGGTCTTAAAATGGCCGAAGTGAGAGCTAGTCGTAAAACGACATCTGTTGTGCAACGATGTAATATTTTTATCTCGATATTTTAAAATGTATCTTACATGGACAAGTTATTCGTTCGAACGAACTATCGACAGAGTACCACAGTTTTGTCCCCTTGCTCTTCCCTTAATCGTTTCAGTTCGGGTTCCGTATATTCGCACACGGTAAATCTACTACTGAGTCGGTTCGAATTCGCGCGTCGATAAGGTAGACTCGAAGTGTTGATCGATCGATCCGCACTGCCGCGCTTCACGGATGCGTCGCGACGATCGATCGAAATAACGAGTCGAACGTCGTGACGCGTTCATTTGGCGCAATCACGTAAGTACCCCGAGTTTCTGCAAATGATTGAAAATTAACAAAAAAAAAATAAAAAAATATAGAGAAAAAAAAGTAGAGTAAACATGCCCATCTCCGAGCGTGTTAGAGAAAAATAATAACGAACACACTCGAAAGTAGCTGTCTAGCCATTATCTTTTATTTATAAAATTATTTCTCAAAAATTTCGCATAATCTCAAATTTAAAAAGAAGCAAAAGGTTTTAGAATATTCATACAAATATTGCATATATTAATTAAAAAATTGAGACAGCTGCTTTCATGTAGTGTACAAAAGTAACTAACTTTAACACGAATATATAAGTATAGGAAAAAAATACGAGATTTAAGCAAAAAAAAAAAAAAAAATTAGATTAAGTAACAGAAAAGATATACATATTTATATCTTTTTTTGAAAAAAAAATGAGGTAACGAATGAGAGATAAAGATCATAATAATCGTAATCTCACAGTCGTAATTGTAATTTAGAAAAAAAAAAAAGAAAAAAAAATGTTCGCTTTGTGCCGATGGTAAAATTCGTAACCGCAACTTTCTGACTTGGCAAACCATTTTGCCCTCTCCCCTTTCTCTCTGATTGTTGGGTTACCATCTCCGTTGTAATGGAATGGAATGGAATGGAATGGAAACGGATATGGCACACGGATTGGTCACTATGGTCGACTGGGCGCTCGGATCGGGTGGTTCGATGATGACCGATGACGATGATGTATCCCCCTACTTCCTCCCCACCGACACACTCGTACGTTCGTCCGTGCTTACACACGTCGTCTACCGCGTGTTACACGGGTCTCCGCCCTCGTGGTGGTGGTGGTGGATGACGGTGTGCGTGGCGATCGGTTGACGCGACGGCCCTGGGATGTGTGGACCCTCCACCGTCTTCTCCTCTGGAACACGACCGCAACGACAACTGGTGGCCATCGACCTACCACGTCTCAATCAACGTGCGAACAACGACTTCTCTGGTCCAACGAATCGCTGGTGAATCGTCAACGATGACCGGTGTGGTATCGTTGTCTGTCGGGGCTCTTCCTCTTCGTCCATCACGAAACTGAACACACGGGGGACCGATCGTCGGACCGACCAATGATCCGGATCACCAAACGGTGCACTCCACCACTGATTGGGTCCTCTCTTGGCATGCGCCGCTGATACCGATTCCGCCGGCCCATATGTAGAGCCCACGACCGCCCTCCGTCGAGGACGACGAAGACGGCCACCTTGTTTACCAATCCGGCGACATCCTGGCAAATAGATGTTCGTGAATACGTGAATACACTCATTGTAGTAGATTTAAGCAAGCCTCAGATCGATTGGTCGATCGATCGATCGGATCGGTTACCTACGGTATCTGCCCATGGTCTCTCTTTGCCTCTGCTCACCTCTGCTCGCCTCTGCTCGCCTCTCTTCTTCTCTGGCTCAGCCTCTGTACTTCCTCATCTGTCCAATTCGTTTCATTGTGTCTCTGATTCTTCTTACTAATCTCTCTTCGAGTCTTTATTCTCATAAAAAAGACTGTTCCTTAAGTATCTTAGAGTTAACGTTTGATTGTAAGATATAGGTTAGGTTATTATAGGTTAGTTTCGGGGGGTTCGGCACGTCCTGTTCCCATGTCTAGAAGAGGATGCTTCTTAACTTGTTTCTAGTTATTTCTATCGCAAATTTTGTTAAAAGAGTTTTTCTCCTAGGCATTTGTAATTTACAGATATTTATCATGGCAATTTTGATTTTAATAGTCAAAAATCCACACGTGGAACGTCCATCTTCTCATGTCATGTGCTTTCTGGTCAATGCATATGTCCACTTGTTAAGTGCAAATTGAACAGTTTCTAGTCTGTTCAGACCAATTCGACCTATTTTAAGCTAAATCATTCGCTCTCAACTAGAATTGTTGGATCATGAGTGATCATGACAATTTATGCTCAGTTGTTTGATTTTGGGATATTCAGTTTTATTTTGTATTTTTCGTTGTATGCAATAAAGACTATGAACAGTTTTTATCAAATAAAATATAGAATAGGAAATGAAATAAAATATCCCCAAATTAAATGACCCAATAATATCAGTTTGAGGATCCATATTACTTCTTGGGTACTTTTTCATCTTTCAACTGTATTTAAGTGCACAGCATATATCCAGAGAATATTAATTATTATTGCATCGACTAGCTACGTGTTTCTGTAAAAATAAAATGCACCAAATTTCTTCGAATATTTTTTTTCCACCAGGTACTATTTCTGATAAGTAAATTCCTCTTCGTTCTTTCACTCTGCTCATTCCTACACGATCGAAGGTAAAATGTCAGAGCGGAGAGACAGAGAGGCGAAGGAAGGAGGAGAGACAAAGAGAGGCCACGCTTGCGCTATCTCCTCGATACGTCTTCTTCGGGATGACGTGTTCCTCTGTCTTTGAATAGGCGCAGGAGGACATTGGACATTCGCTCTCATTATTCTGATGACTTTTCACCATGTTTCCATTTGACTCGGCCCTCAAGGCCACGAAAGTGACACGACTACATCAAAATTCCGTGCGTCGGGACACTGATAGTCAATGTTATGTCCTCCGGCTGCCGATTTTTACTGTTAGGGTACCTCGGCCTTTAGGAGAGCAGCAGTTCCGATCGATAAAACAAAGCTCTATGATACCGTTTTTTTCACTTGAATCATACATCCGTTCACGACGTATGGCGTACAGAACGCGATCGACCGAACGTCTAGCTGGAAGCGCACGTCTCTGTTGCCCTTTACCTACGTTTAGAACTTTCTCGGGAATCTTCCTTACCAACGGAGTAATTTGGTCCAGACGAAAAATCAATTATCGACTAAGTAAAGTAGTTTCTGACGTATTTAGTACCAGCCAGGACACATTGGTGGTAGTAGCATCGAATGTCGAATCAGGACCGCCATAAGGCAACAGAGATGATCTTCCAGGGATGTGAGGTCTTTGATGTACCCGGGCACTTATCTATCTTTTTACATTGCAGATAAAGTACTGGCCACCCTAGGAGAGGGTACTTTTGGAAAAGTTGTCAAGGTTAAGGACTTGCAAATGTAAGTGGCAGCTCACGTATCTACTACGTAGGTAACCTACCTCGAGACTGCGTTTCTCTTTTTCTTTGTTTCTCCTTTTTATTTATCCACCCTATCTTGTTTTCCTTCGTGTCTCCATATCGGATTTTTCCAAGATATTTCTTTTTTTCTCCCGACTTTCTTCTATTCGTCCCAGAACAACAACATGCACCGAGGAAAATCGCAAAGGTGCATGGCGCGACTCGAGTCATAGCAGGGTCAGAAATAGCCGTGCTGCAGTGTCACAAAATGACGCGCAAGTAGTTGCAATAATAGGATGGCCTTGCACTTTGTTTTACGGGCCGGGCCTTCTCGACGGGCGAACGAGTTGTCACGAAATCGCTCGTCGAGATGCCGACCGGAGGAGAATTTCTTTGAGCCATTTTTCTCTTTCCTTTTTTCCTCCTTTGTGTCTCTTGACCAGCCGCGCTTTTAAGCTTCGTACTCATGTATATGCGATGATACTTCCGGCCATGTGGATTATTGGCGGTCCGTGGACAGTGTCGTCTAATAAAAGTACAATGACGTTTGCAGGGATCACGTGATGGCGCTGAAAATCATCAAGAACGTAGAGAAGTATAGGGAAGCAGCGAAGCTCGAAATAAACGCCTTAGAGAAAATTGCGATCAAGGATCCGGAAGGCCAACAGTTAGTATTTGCGTGGCTTTTTCGACCTGGTGGGGATTGGACTGGCGAACAGAGGGTGATTCTTCGTGTAAAAATAAGTTGAAAATTGTGCGGCGAAATTTTCGTCCGCAGAACGTCGTTTATATCTTTCTTTCTTTTGCAGGAAATTTGGAGTAAATCTATTTAAATGTAATATAAGAATATCAGTTTATTATTATAGAATATTATTATTGGTTAAGGAATTAAAATTTAGTATGCATTTATAGTTAAAACTTCTGAACTATTGGATAATACAAATAGAATGTTTATGTTCTACACTGTGTTATAACACATTTATCGTTTTGTTAGCACATTCTGTGCAGTGTATTATCAACGTCTCATAATGCTTATTAAAGCCAAAATTTCCGAGAAATGGACCAGGATGTTATTTAGTTTTATACGCAATAAAATATGCGTAAAATACTGAGATATTAGAATAGAATTTATAAAATTGCTACTTTTTTTTGCTATGTTTAGTATAAGAAGTAACGAAATAAGGTGCATTTATGTCACTTATATATTTCTAATAAATCTATTGAAAAGTATAGTTAGATTTACATACCTTTTCATTATGGAAAGAGGCTTGCAATAAAAGAATCAATTTATATTTATTTAAGAGAATCACCCTTTCTTTAATTGCGCTGGTCTTCTTACCTAAACTATATATATATATATTGTTTTTACGAATGATGGATTTGTTTCTTGTATTCACTTAGCATTGCATTGTTACTTTTAGCTTGTGCGTGAAAATGCTCGACTGGTTCAATTATCACGGACACATGTGCATCGCCTTCGAGATGCTTGGACTTAGCGTATTTGATTTCTTGGTAGGTTTAGCATGTTTATAAAGTGATACATCTGGTACTGTGTTCTAACTGTTTTGTATTTGCAGAGAGATAACAGTTACCAGCCTTATCCATTGGAACATGTCAGGCATATTGGATACCAACTATGCTATGCTGTTAAATTCTTACACGATAATAAACTTACGCACACTGATTTGAAGCCGGAAAATATATTATTTGTAGATTCCGATTATGAAAGCATATATAGTAGCAAAAAGGTAAGGCACGATGAGCTTTCTCTATGTAAACATAGAATAATATATTGTGTCAATTGGAATGGTACTCTTTCACTTCCTCAAGTGGTTGTTGGAGAAAAATAATTTTGTGTTGGATATATTAAGTTCTACTAGATTACTTTTACTTGCCACGTTATATATATTTATAGTAGTAAAAGTTAAAATATTAAAACGTATCTAATTTTGTTTTGTTTTATTTTATTTTTTATTCTGAGTTTATCTGTACGCTTCAATTTTCAATTAATAAAATAAATTACTTGATTATTAACGAAATTTTTAATGTATTAGTAGAAAATTGTTCAATGCTGTATAATTCTAAGCGACACTTGTTTTATATCAATTAGTCATAGACAAAATGTATGATCAAGTGTCGTGCTCTGAAGTGTTTAAAAGAAGTTTCTTCTTTTTAAGCGAAGGGACATTAGGCGTGTAAAGCGAACAGACATTAGACTCATTGATTTTGGTAGTGCCACATTTGACCACGAACATCACAGCACGATCGTTAGCACAAGACATTATAGAGCGCCTGAAGTAATTTTAGGTGAGTAACTCCTGCAAAATTAGTTGTATATATTACAAAATTCATATAACCAATTCGTTATACATTTTGTATAGAATTAGGATGGTCTCAGCCTTGTGATGTATGGTCAATTGGCTGCATCCTCTTTGAATTGTACCTGGGTATTACTTTATTCCAAACACACGACAACCGCGAACACTTAGCGATGATGGAACGTATACTTGGCACGATTCCACATCGTATGGCTCGTAAGACTAAAACTAAGTACTTCTATCATGGCAAATTAGATTGCGATGAGAAAAGCTCAGCCGGCAGATACGTTCGAGAAAATTGCAAACCTTTACATGTAAGTGTTAGTCATCTAATGTCAGTATACAATTATTTAGAAGCTGTAATTTTTTATGAGTATCAAAACTTTATAAAACGATCTACAAATCGCTTAATTTATTATTATGGATAATATTAAATTTTGTGATCTTAAGTATCAGATTTCATAAATACATTTATGTTCTTGATAAAAATAGCAACTATTAGAAGGATTTCAATTTTATTATGATTAGAAATAAAAATGAAAAATAGTGATGTATTTTATTTTTGTATGTATAGCGCTCTATGCTTTCGGACGATGAAGAGCATCGACAATTGTTCGATCTTATCCAAAAAATGTTAGAATATGAACCATCTCAGAGGATAACACTGAAAGACGCTTTGACACATCCCTTCTTTGATGCGTTACCTGCACATCAAAGATTACCAGATCTTAGAGCAGCTGGTGATTCTCAACAAAGTCATGAACGATCGCACTCTCTTTCACGATGAAGCTAGGAAAGGGACCGACCTCCGTACTGGACAGACACTCCACTGTCTACGACGCTACTGCCCTACGTCACTATTTTCACACCCTTAAGTCTAACAAGACTGTATAGTTCCGGCAATAACAAGATTCGATGACGTAAGTCGATACCTAAATAAATGAAGTTAGGTGAATAGATTAAGAAAGGAAGAAAAAAGGTTCGAAATTTTAATAACAAATATGATAAAATTTGTCAACAACGATCGATGATATTGATTAAATCATAAATCGTATTGTTTATTAACGACGTAAAATAAAAGAAAAAGCAGTAGTGAAATGGTGCTGTGGAACTCGGATTCGATATAATTTATGATAGATCATCAAGAATCTTTGGATAAAACTACACGAAGTCAACATTCTTATCTCCATTTACGAGACATTAAAATTGGTAGATAACCACTTAAATCACTTGATATGATCCCTGTTACTGGTTCGTAAAAGAACCAGTGTGTCTGCTCAGTGTAGCGTAACAGCGTCCCACCACTGTAAACATTTTCTAAACGCTCTTCTGTACATTTTATCCTTTAATTTTATTACAATGTTATGCAACAAAGTTTGGAGTAAAGGGTCGCAGTTTATACTCTGTTTGTTATAGATTGATGACCATGGCGTGTTTAGTAGTAAGAATCAGATTTAACGTTAAGGGACAAGTAAATATATGCGTACGTGTTGACATTAATTAAGATTAACAAAGAAGAGAAAGTGAAAGCGAGAAAGGAAGGGAGTGAGTGAGAGATAAATTCAGTGAACGCCAATTCATTGTCGTAAAATACACATGTTAATGTTTTCAGAGACCATAAGGATATAACATACGATTTACTTCAGAAAATGTTAATTTTTTCGGTACTTTCGAATAAAGCTAACGAAGTTGTTCCATTTTTTTCTTTCTTTTTCTGTCAGTGTATATCTAAATTTTATTACATTGTCTTATAATGTTGCAGACAATCATGTGTATTTTAAGTTATGTCAATCCTTATGAAAACGATTAGAAAGCTCAGGCGAATCGATTGTTTTCTAAAAACACCCAATACTGAGAGTTCTACGCGTGCATCGTATATCTTTAAAAAAAGAAACGCGAGCTTACGTACATAAGAATGCCTCTGCTTTTATTTTGTTTAATAGAGGAATGAATTCTTAAAAATTACGAAGCTCTTACCACTCATGTACGTCTTGTTTGCCTCTTTTAGTTCTTATACATACGACATGACGGAAGTTTTACAACATCCTGCTGCTCGTACAAAAAAAAAAAGAAATATGTCTGAGCACTGCGAAAAAATGCTGTTTCGAGTAGCAATAAAAACACATTTCTTTCAAATAATCATTTGAAATTTATTTTTCCAACCAATAAATCAAATTTTTCATCCCAATAATTTAAGATGGTCGAATACATCACGATACACTTATACAATAGTATGACATAATAAATCGTTCTCTGTTTAAAATAGGATACTTTTTACAATACACATTCATACATGTTACTCATACACATACGCACGAAAGACATAACATCTATTATATATGAACCTGTTCAACAGACTCTTACAATACCATGCCAAATAAAAAAAAATAAAAGAAACCATTAAACAAATGTTACACACATTTGTATAATCGATCTACTCAAAAATTTTATCAAAGCCTCGTATATAAAACGATGACAGTCAAAATTACAATTTAGGCCAGACATATACTGGAGGTACTGATGGTTTATAAGTTGTATTGTATAATTGTGCCTTAATGAATTTTTCATAGTCTTTGGGCTGAGGATGGACCGATGCAATACCTATGGAAATTAAACAAACATTTGTAGTTCACACCATAACAATTACTAAATATAACTACATAATGATATTATGAAGTTCTTACCGATTTCATAACCATACTTCATAACTTCGGTGGCTATCGTTAATGAACATTTTTGAATATCCTGCAATGGTGGATATAGATTTCCTTTATCTAAGTCTTCATCGGAAACCATATCGGCTAATGATTTAGCAGCAATGAGGAATGTATCTTCAGGAATGGTACGCATGCCACAGCATATCACACCCAACGCAACACCGGGAAAGATGTAACTGTTATTTCCCTGGCCCGGATAGTAAGTTTTACCGTTGTACGTTACTGGTGGAAACGGTGATCCACTAGCGAATATACATTTTCCCTGTAAAAATTTGTAATTAATTACTAAGTTTAGGTCTTCAAGCTATTGAATTTTATCAAGTATAATTTCTAATGCATTATTACGTCCCCAATGAAATAAAGGATTTCATACTCAAGTTATTAAAAAACAAAAAGAATCTGTAATTTAACATTTGCAATAATACCTTTGTAGCAGTGTACGCTTGCTCAGCAGTACATTCTGCTTTACTCGTAGGATTACTGAGAGCAAATATTACAGGCTTTTCGTTATTATTGCCCATTTCTTCCAATATTTCACGGGTAAAAGCTCCGCCAACTGCTGCTGCACCAATGAGTACTGTAGGTTTTGCAGTTTTCACGACGTCCAATAATGTATCTATTGGCTTGTCATCTCGAGCAAAGTGCAGCTTATGTTCCGTCAGTCCACCGCTTGGACGATTTTTAACTATCAATCCTTTCGAGTCGACCATCCAAATTTTACTCTTGGCTTCTTCTTCACTGACACCTTCCTTCTGCATGGCCATGACGCACAACCATGCAATACCTAATGATGCCTACAAAATTTAATTAAATATTTTAATATTTAATTCCAATTATATTACGTACATATTTATGATTCCGAAATGAAGCATGACATAAAGAGGTTATCAAAAGTCAGTGAAAAATGAAGAAAAAATTATGAAATACCGATATTATTTACCTCTCCAGCACCTTGGAACACAATTCTATTTTCTGATAGTTTCGTATTTGTGACACGAAGAGATGCTAACAAACCGGCAACTGCAACCGAAGCAGTACCCTGAATATCATCGTTGAAGGTGCAATAGTGATCGCGGTATTTATTAAGCAATCTGAACGCATTGGCATTTCCAAAATCTTCAAATTGGATCAAAGTGTTTTGTCCGTATCTTTTAACAACAGCTTGCATGAATTCGTCTAGGAATTCGTCATATTCTTGACCAGTGACACGCTTATGCTTGTGACCAATGTAGAGAGGATCATCTAACAGAGACTGAAATAAAAATTAATATTAAATCGTTTTGTTAAATTCTGTATCTTCTTGGTGATATGTATTACTTATTCGTGTTTTTGTATAATTAATAGAATTTGTAAATAAAATTTAACTCGAAAGTTAGTAATTGATATACAATTAATTACTTAAAAGCTCTTGCACCAACCTGAGTGTTTGTACCAACGTCTAAAGTAATTGGTAAACACTGATGGGGTTTAATTCCAGCTAAAGCAGTATATAAAGATAATTTTCCAACTGGTATTCCCATTCCATAAGCACCCAAGTCACCCAATCCTAATATTCTTTCACCATCGGTAACAACGATGGCTCGTACGTCGTGTTCAGGCCAATTATTTAAAATGTCATAGACGTAACCTTTGTCATGTATAGTTATGAATAGGCCACGTGGTCTTCGGTAAATTAGACCAAATTTCTGACATGCTAAGCCCACTGTAGGTGTATATACCAGAGGCATCATTTTCTCCACATTGTCTCCCAACAGACGGTAAAAAAGTTTCTCATTTCTATCCTGTAAAATAATAATAAATGATTACATCTATTTTCATTTTCAATCCGTAAATTTAAAAAAAGAGAAAAAAACTGATAAGAGAAGAAAATAGTTAAATATTCTATACATACCAGTAGGCCTATGAGATATATATACTTCGATAAATCATCATCATAACGATCCAAATTCAAACGACAGAGTTCTAGTTGTTCTTCCTGAGTTTTCACAGCTGCTGGCAGAAGACCATGAATACCCAATGTTTGCCTCTCTTGAATAGTGAAGGCCATTCCCTAAAATAAAAGAACAATGTGCTTTTATAAGTATACGTTCGAAACAAATTTTTCTTTGAATTAAACAATAATTTTTGTGTTATCTAACATATCCTATAGTATTCTAAGACATTTTATAATTGGTTAGGGTTACAATCATAACAACATTAGTCAATGAATTTTATCAATTCATTGAAGTAGAATAATAACAGATTAGAAAAGGAAATAAGATGACTATGTACTTATTTCCTTCACTGATTTAATTTAATCTAAATGACAAGTCATCAGTTTGAATAAATGAAATAAATCGAGACGCATCATGGGTCACCCTAATACCCTGACATACACAGGAATTATGTCATTACCGACTGGAATGGATTAACGAGAAAATTCCTGTGGGTTGGCAATGAACGTAAGTGAAAGACGATCAGCTGTTCGCCTAGCTCGATCTTACGTCACGTTCGGAATCGATATATCACATTCGATTAGACTTCCGCGTCTACAGATATTTCATAACTTACATTTAACAATTTAATTAATTAAAATTGTTGAATAGTTATGCGAGACAATCTATTCCTATTATTTTTTGCAAAATGTATAATTATATACTCCTGTAAATATTTATATATTTTTTTTATTAAAAAGATAATCGAAGTTTTTTAAAATAATTTAACAAATTTTTTAAATAATCGAAATAAAATTGTCATTATGAACATAATAATAGAAAACCGTAGGATGTTAATTATCACTAATAAAGATAAATGTATACAATACTTATATGTACACTAGAATTAACAAGTACCCTCAGGATGCATATCTCCATGATCTACATTTGATTTGCTCAAGGCTCCACTTAATGGCGAAAATGCTTTGAGTATATAGAACAATGAAACAGCCATTTTATCAATTTCCATTTTAACAATTGCAATTTGGTATATTCCTTTAAGATAATTGACAAAAGAATAATTAATAATAAATCTAGTAGTAGTACAAGAATATTTTTGGAAATACAATTTTCATGCTTACTATCAATGATTTGAGTTTAGAATATTTGAAAGCAGAATGCAATCGTTACCAACACAATTTCGGACTTTTCATTCAGTTGCTTCGCAAGATTTATCGCGGACAGTGCACTAGCTATACCTAATTAAATTCAGCTTAGTTCGCACAGATGTCGTGGTTGGGCATAGAACAATACATTTCAATAACTGACACGGTTGCGAGCTTATTATATAATTATGTAATTGCTTTTCATTGATTTTTATTTATCAAAAACTATATATCTGTTGTTAAGAGAAAGCACATATTCAATAAAAACAAAATTGTTAATACCTCTTTAACTATCCAATATCAACAATTCCTTATTATCAGTCATAGAATGTCTATTGAGTTTATGAACAATGCCTCACGCAATTGGTTCAAGGTATTTAAAACGACAAAATTTGTCTTCAGTCGATAGTTAAAAAATAAAAAGAAAAAATAAGAGAAGGTAAAATAGCAATTTAAATAAATATTTCTGCAATATATAATTAATATAGAATATTCAATCAACGAAAAAAGACATTTCATTTATATCACTTTTGTTTATAATTCAATTCTAGATAGAATCGATATATGTAGATTGATTTATAATTCAAGTGGAACAACTTCCGATTACTCTTTGAATAAGCTTAAAGCCCAATAACGAAACCATTAGACTGTATGCTATCGATTAATCGATAAATGATAACACGTCTATTCTAGACGAATAATGGCAATTTAGTACACGCAGAATGGCATTGATTATACACAGTAGAAACTACGTAATCAATAATTTCATTATCTTGTCCTGTTGGACAAATAGAAGAACTTTTCCTTATCGTACGATGTTAATTATTGTAATTTATGAGTTCTATGTCACATATTGAAAATTATTCTTACCTACATACTTGTGGCAATTATTCTTTCATACTCATACAACTGAGTTTGTACATAATAGCGAAACAATTGTGTTCATTTTATTTATAAATGTAGATATTTTTTCCTTGCATTTTTATACTACCTGTCTTTAAATTATTCATCGGCCGATAATATGCACATGATTCCTCTTACACAATTTTTCAGTGCAAAATTTATATCTGCACTTTGAGTTTGTTATAATCTTCTCCTAATATTAATATTTGTATGAATATTAATTTTAAAAAGCAATTGGCTCTAGAAACATAATATCCTAATGATGTAAAACTTTTCTGTTTATTATATGATTTCTAACCTTCAAATTTTCTTCCATTATGACATATTGCCATATAATCGATACATCGATCGAACTTTCCTTTCATTATAATCGATTTCACACTATGCATTTGAAATGTAACCTTTCAATTAAACATTCGAATATTATGGAATAAAACGTCTGTAACCCTTCCTTTCGGTGACAACGATGAATCGCGTGACACTGGTATGACATAACATAGTGAATCGTATTTCCTATTTACGATCGGATCCAGTTATCGATTACTTAATCGGTTTAAAGGTATTTATAAAATTGCCGTTTTGAAAAAAGAATGATCTGAGAACGTGTTACAATTGTCAACATAATTAGACTTTGCACTGTGCACCTGTAATATACAAATCCCTTTAACCAACATTTATATATTTACTTGACCTTCCAGTCTTCGTCGTTCGTTTGAAAGCCTAACGAATACTGTCAATGACATTTTGCGATAATAAAAGATATATTTTAAAATAATTAAAAAAAACAACTTGTTTTTTCATTTTCTCAAAAGAATCCTGTAGCAGTATCGATTGATATTTTCGTTCATTTCAATTTCGCCATTTTTATGACTATTCTTTTTTCGAATTTTTATTATCATAATAACGTTTTCTATTGTTTGTAAATTTAGTTAACCAAACTTTAAAGCTTCAAACTCCACTTTAGATTCTTTTATATAACATGAGAATTTTTCTTAATAAAATCTAAAATTTCAGGGAAAATATTATTTTCAAGATATTAAAATCATCGATGTACCAGACGAAGAAATGGTAATTTGATCGGACCTTAGCACGATTTTTCACTTAGGTACTAGAAAAATATCCCAATATATTTTAATTAAATTTTAATTTAAATTAAAAAAAAAAAAGAAAAAAAAATACGACAAATTTTGCTGATCTATCGCATAAAACTTCCCTTTCAGCAACGGCACTTTTCACAAAAGATTCCATTCAGGCTCTCTGGAGCTAAGTCCAACTGAACAGCGGAGGGTCAAAGAACTCGAAAGTATTATAGTATTTTTCCATCAGCAATTGGGGTCGTTGACAATGCTTCGAACGTCCCGGCTATATCAATCGCTGACAACACCAATTGACTTTTATTAATTATAATAAAAGACGAGGATAAACGAACCATCCCCTCTTCTCTCTCTTCTTCCAGAAACCAATCACTTCGTCTTTCAAGAAAACGATAACCTTCACGCTTGTCTATAAATAATCTTCGTGCTTTCAACGGAAGATCTGCAATAGAGTCGTTAAGGACATCTAAAATTGATACAAATAAATCATTTGATGCTAGTAAAGCAACCGAGTAATAAAGTACAATGCTAAGTGAAAAGTGTAAGTGTGAAACTTACAACGCAGAATACATGATGAAACATTTAATAGTAGACTATATTGAGCATATGACTAGGTGGCTAAGATATAATACATCAAGGGCACTGGATAATTACATTGAACATGTCCATGAATCAACAACTTACAATTTATCAGTAACACAATCACGTACTTTACAAAAATTAACTTTTGTATATCTGTCTCTTCGACTATGAAACCACAGACTATGTGAAAAATTATACCGAAGTTTTTTTTTATTAGAATGGAGTGAAAGGGAATTTTTTATTTGGAGCAAAGTCGAATGTACTGCAGAAGAGTACAGTATGGACCAAAGAACAGAATTTTTTCTAGCAATTTGAATAAATTAGTCATACTTCACTGATTAAGATTCATGAATCCTCTACCTGTTGATAGAGTATACTAAATCTACTACATCACTTTCATCTACCAGCTGCACGATCCGAATACTATCGAGGTTCGATAAAGCAGGCAACGATTTTTTTTAATCATTATGCAACTGACGGTGCATTACATCGTCGAGAACTTTCGAAATTTCGCAACGAGTGGATGCAAGAGGCGAAAGAGATGAAAGGGCGACTGAAATTTTTCGAGATTGATGAAAGTGTTTTTGATGAAAGGGTTAATTATATCTGGTGTTTAAATGAAATTGAAGAAAATTAAATTAAATAGGATTAACAATCTGGGAGCATAATTGAAAAATTTGTTGCCACTTTGGAACTGCAAGAATTAAATATTTAAATATTATTCTCTATGTAGAATTCATTGAATATTGGAAGTTTTGAAAAGGAGATGAAGAAAATAATAAACCTTGATGTTTTGTGATGAATCACAAAAGATTACCACAAGAGTACCACAAAAATTGCAAGAATGGATTCAAATATCAGTAAGCAGATAGCTAGAAGTAGGTTCTAGTGACATAATAATAAAACTAAAATAAAAACGACACATATCCAATTTCCTTGAAATTTATCGCCTACCAATTAGTATACAATAAGTATTATCACACCTGAAGATTATACTGTTAAAATACCCAAAACGACATCACAAATTAATTAATTTACATTACTGACAAAAATATATTTTTTTAACCATAACATTATCGAAAACACAGATTCTTTGTATTATAATATTCGCGTAATTTGTTAACGAGTTACTATAATTATCAATTAACTTGTTCATGTCTTTATGTTTCATAAAATTGTGTTGGAAATAAAGCTGTGATATGCAGTGACAGTGAAAGAAATCTTAAAGAACACTTTAAAAGCTCCCTCCAAAATTAAAGTAAAAGGCTATAAACAATGCTTATATAAAATTACTGGAAAAACTTGAAATATCAATCCTAACATCGACCAAGTCAGGTGACACTTCCAGAAAGACGAGCTTCAAATAGTCCTCTGATGAAATAAAAGCCAAGTAGCACAGTAGTCTAACGAAATTCTAACATTCTACAGTATAGTCACGAATACCCTTCCATCCAGGGCGAGTAAAGGCTCAGGAATACGAGCTGTTCTATGAAAATCCGGGACGAGATCCCACCAATCCGTGTCCATTGTTCTTGCGAGTTCAGCACAGGATCCTTGAGTTCCATGATAAACAATCCCCGATGGAAACGGTTGCCAGGAGTTCTGGGGCTAACAAGCGATCGATACGTGGCTCTAGAAGCCTTTGGTCACGAAGCAAGTCACGACCTACTACAAGGATCTCGGTACTTGTTCCAAACGGTACTTGACGTATCGTGCGTAATCCAGCTGCGCCTTGAATAAGGTATGTACTCTGTACCGTGCTTCATAATGTACTTCTTATGTACTTCTTACATACTTCTTCTCATCTATTCGTGAACATATTTATGTAAAATGCATATAAATATTTCTTGCAGTTTCTTCAACTTTCTACATAATCATAGACAAGTGTCATAGTAAATGGACAAAATCTACATCATCCTTAGCCATACCTTATGAACACTTTACCATTTATGGCATGGAACTCTGTTTGATCTCGTTACCGTTCTTCCATTTTCAAAGATCCTTCAGAACTTCTACGTTTCCTTTAGTCCAGAGGAGGCTGTTGCAGAAGTCGTCGTGCAAGTCTCAGTTTCAATGAAGATTTTGGTGTCAAACGGTACTTCGTTTCTTTCCTTGCCCATTGCAATGGTACTTCTTGCCAAGTTGTCGCAGAAATACCGTTTCTCAGAAGGATCTCTTAGTATCCTTAGTCTCTAGAATAGTATACGTATCACGGTCATGTTTAAGTGACTCTGAAAAACAAAAGACCACTCAGTATTGCCTTTTAACTTGTTGCTAAGATATTTCTACAATTTTTTAGAAGCCATTCATCAAAATCGAACATCCTATCTATAGGATGCTTATCGAGGATGACTCCAACATTAAGGAAGATTATTAATGAGTCGTCGAAGTGAGTAAAATCTATTTTTCCCACACTTTCGAGTATTTTATTGTGTCTCACTTGATCTAATAATCATTTTCTTTTAGATTCATGATGTGATGAGTTAGAGAGACATAGCAGTGATCAGATCTTGAAGCAGCTAGCTCTATCTTGCAAATTGTTTGGAATCTCAGCCACTTTTGGAGCAAAAGTATACTTCTATTTATTATTCACGAGCATTTTATCAGCGAATTCGTTTGGTGATTTAATTAAACTATCGCGTGACGTGTGTGATTCTTGCAGAAACAGAGGAAAAATTATAGAAGAACGAGGGGAGATAAGGACATATCGCCAACTAATCTTCTTGAACTCTCAGAGGACTATGAAGAATTAAATTTATTTTAACTTGGAGACACACTGAATCCTAGGTAGTGAGACGTTTGCTAATAAAATTCACTGTCTCGTTAGTGAAAAATTATCGAAATTCTCTTTGAACGAGAGAGACGAAAACAGGTAAAATTTATTCCAAAGGTTTCAAAGGTGAAGACAAATTTGACTTAAAATTCGTTTTGAGATTTAAATATGTAAAGATTTTAAATCTTCAGAAAATCAAGTTTTCGATCTCCAAATATTTTTCGTTGAACATTTATTCATTTTAAAAATTGAATTTCAGTTAAATTAACGTGATTCCAAAAAATTGTCAATTAGAAAATTTCCAATAACTAGGATCCTATTTATACAAATTTACTCTTGGCTGTGTCATTGTATTTTACCACGCAGTGTCGCATTATTACCGAGCAAGAATGATTAATTCATACAGATTTCCTTTAAATGGAAAATTACAGTTGACCATACCTCGCATTTTTCTTTTTCTTTTTCTTAACAGAGGAAAATCCGGTTACGAAAGGTGATAAAAATTTCACGTATCGAGTCCTCAAAGTGGTTCCAACATGAAAAATATTTAACACTTAGATACCAGATGGCAGATATTTAGAAAGTAATACCAGATAGGCGAACGTGAAGTCGTGCACGTACAACCTTTTGGTCCTTAGTTCACTGTGAAACCTATTTCCAGTGAAACTACTTCCACCATTTTTACGTCTCGTTTATTCCAACATTCTTATTTCACCGAGAAATCTAAATTAAACATATCGAGTTTCGTCAGATTCTTAACAAATAGCTCAAAAAATTCCATCATCGAGTAGCATGTTAAATTCGATATTATTCGTACATCGTATTAGAGACGTAATAATCTTCTTTATTGATACGACATTCTAATTGCTACCCGATATGCAAAATTTTAGAAATTTTTCTTGGTTATGCAACATACGTTGGCAAAATATGAAAGTATTAAAATATACGTTAGGAGAGTTTTTCGCTGAAAAGATAGCAATGGAATGTCGTTATCTGTTGCTACATACATCAAATTCAAATTGACCTCTCTCGTAGACGTTATATTAATACGTACATACCGCCCCAAAACATCAAAATGTTATTAACCTATATCTCAACGATAAAAAGTTAATCTATTTATTTAATAAAGGCGTTAAAAAGTTTGTAAATATTTATGAAACCGCTATTACATGTAAAAGAATTGGAAAATCTGAATAAGTAAAAAAGGTGCGAATTAAATTTGCACTGAAATTCGAAACGCAATTTTCCTCCATTCGCATAATGTATTTGAATATCGAATGGATGACGTAGATAATAGAGATTGAGATTAATATTACGCCTGTTTTTAAGATCCCGTACTGTACTGCATAATCGACTTTTTATTGACTGCAATAGATACGGGTCGATGAATTTAAGAGTCATGGAGAATTGCAAGTTTTTGAGTCACGGGAAAAAAGATATGGTAAATCCGAAACTTCCATAGAGAGATACGTGGTTTCTTCATTGTTAGCGTTTAAAGGACTGCTGTTAACCGCGAAATGCTGGGTATATTTCGCAACAGTGACTGAATGTTTCCGCGTGGAACATTCTGTATCCAGTTTGCACAGTCATCGAGAAAATTATTTTAGTCTGACCACTACTATTACGAATCATGTTGCGCCCAAGATACTGTAAGGCTGAAAAATTAGTTCCGTTCTATTTTTAACAATCTTATCTAATTGTAAAATATATACAATAACAAAATTATGAAAATAACATAATTTAATATATGCACCTGTAATGTCTGATAAATAGTGTTTTTTTAAATAAAAGTTTGTATTATATCTTATTTTACTTACGAATACATTTAACTTCATTCGTATGAAATACATATTCATATATTAAATTTTTATATGAATCAGCTATTTTATAATAACATCGTGAAAATAATAAGAAATATAAGACACGTTAATCAATTAAAATAATGCTGATTGCAATCAAGTAATAGATATTGTAGAAATATAGAAATATATATAGAAAATATGATAAAGATAACAGCGCTTTATCATGTTCGTAAAAAATGGCGGTTTCATCATCCTCGGGTTGTCATGCCACCGTATGTTCCGTTTCGTGGATGGTGTGACGTGAAAGTGAATTTCACGGAATCGCAGCGACTACGTGACCCATTGGACGTAACCAAGCAATTATCCACCTAACGAATATTTTTCGTATTTTTCCGTGTTTTCATCGAACGTGATCATCGATACTTTCATAACCATCTTTTTTCATATTTCCTTATACGTGCTTCTCACTGGTCGATATTGACCTCGTTCAACGGTATGGAAGTACTACTCTAATTCTATATCGCAGCTTTTTATCATCCAGAACTAGAATATTGAATAATAAATAACGAAAAAAAAAGTTATTATTCATATCTCGAAAGATTACGAAAAATTGCAGAATAACTATTTTGTAAACTGTAATTAATATTTCGTCAGAGATAAAGATAAGTAATGCTGTGGATCGTTCGTATTATACGAGAAACGAAATTGAAATACTAATGGAATATCTTTTCATTCATAAATTACCAAATTACCACGATTACGATTTATATATTTCGAAATAACAAATAGTTTTCAGTTTTCAAATAGACGAAGCAATAAACGCATTTGAAATGCAAATTTCGCGCCAAGGAAAAGGTTATAATGCACGAGCTATTTCCACGGATTATTATTGGAATGTTTTCAGCTATATAGAATCACGAGTGCCTTGGATACCGTGGCAGTAAACAATAGTGAATGGGAAGTGACTTAATGCCGTCATTTTTTTCCTCTACAGAGCTATTATGCACAGTCACATGCTAATAGCACGGAGTGAACGACATTTTTTAACTGAAGCACTGCGCCAAGCACGAAGTACATTAACAATAGACGTAGAACTTTCAGCACTTCTACCGGCATCGAAAACCGTTGTAATTACATATTAAATCGATAACACGTAACGTTAACATACCTTATTCAACTGGGGATTCTTTAGATGATCGAGACCGCGGAGCAAACTTGAACACACGACATCTCCATGTCCACGTTGCCCAAGTTGATCCCTTTGAAGACTTGACATCGTCGAAGATTTACTGTCGCAGGCTAACTGACTATTGCTTTGGATCCTGCAAACGACGAACGAAGTTTAAGGCTGATTGAAGAGTAATGTCGGTACGGCAGAACGCAGCAGCGTCCAGGAGAGGTGAGGTTAGGGCGCGGGGAGTAAAGCACAGTTACGTATCTATCATATGAGCTAATGATTAAATCCGATGTGATTTTTTTTTTCAAGATTGTAATCTATATTTTACTTTTAATAACGTTTTGGAAAATGATTAGTGTTTACACTCGCCGAATGATAAGTTTTTGATCGCAAGTTTATGGTAAAGGCGAAGTGTCAAACGGTATAATAACGTCTTTTACGAAGAATTTTCACTAATCTAAACACTGCATCAAAAGTTGAGATAACAATCATACTTTTTGAAAAAACTCGTATTGCAATATTTTCGTCACGAATAAAATGGGAGAACGATGTACTTGCTACGTTACTGAATATATATCTAACAGCGCAAGCGCGTGTATCGCGCAGTCGCGCGTCTTCGCCCATTGAACGAAAATTGTTCGACTTTTATCGTTTGGCCATGAATAATATTATAAAAATATTATAAAAATACATTACACGTATTTTATAATAGATAAAACACTATTAAAATAAAAAAAATTAAATAACGATATAAAAATACCATTTAAATCATACTTTTCTTTGTAACGAAAAAAATGCTATTAACAAATTCTATACAATTATAGGATATAATAATATACAATTATATTTATTGTATATTAATTTCATAATGAAACAATACATCATAATTACGTATTACAAAAAGGTTTTACGTCCACAGAAGCGTGATATTACACGATTATACAAAAATTATAAAACACCATTTTTTTCAGGATTACTACGTAATTCTGTACATTAAATAACGCAGAAAATTTCGAAATTAAAAAAAGATATATGTGCCTACTATACAAATTCATTATGTAATTTAAATATTAAATAATGAACATCGATGCATAAGTTAAAAATAAAAACATCCTATATTAGCTCCTTCAATATATACCTCTCATAAATTATCTCTTTTATCTTTTGTATATATTCTAATGAATACAGTAGACTGAATATTAATAGTAACAATAACCATAATGCGCTATTTTATTTCCATAAATTGTAATTATTTTTAATATGATCAACGAAAGTTTTATAAGTCGTAATGAAATAAGAGTTTTATAATTCGTTTACTTTGTAAAGAAAGGAAATGGAAACTCGAAACTTCAAAAACTTTGATGTAGTACCTGTCGTTCAACTGATCGTGTCTGTCTGGTTCAAGGTCTCTAGTAGCATAACGTAACTGACTCGACTGACGAAGAAAGTTAGTAAAGTAACACTCTAGTCGCTTGAGGAAACGCTTTGACATACTCGCGATTTCCGTATAAATTGCCTGTCGTTCGATCTGACATCTCTCGATAAACTGCTGTATCTATTACTAAGAATAAAGTTAAACCGCGCGACTACTCGTATGACCATTGCGTCATACTGATAACTTAGTAGTATATGTCACGTGATCGTCAGGCGTGCATCAAAAATACGAAATTTTTATTTCTTTCAATATGCCTTATCTGAATAAATGAATACTCTTAAAAAAATTGCTAGACAGTTAAGTCTATCTTCATAGCGATTAAAAATGACCCAATGGCATGACCGATTAATATTTTAGAACTAATAAAATATTTTTCGATATGTATACTGCTCATTGTTGCGAGGTTAGCGTAGCAGACAGAATAGTTTACAAATTTCCACACTTATTTGAATTAAGAAAAGTTCTAATAAATCATTTTTATATTCCTAAATTTTTCTAATATTATTAAGCATAATATTTTTGAAAAATGGAATATTTAATATAAAATTGTATATAATAAAAAACATTTAAAGAAATTTAATTTTTGTTTAAATATTTTTGGTGCTTTAATTTTCAGTTCGGAATAAGCAGTAAAAAATAATCGATAACGTATCATACTTTTTGTAACAATAATAGAACAAGAATAAATTTCAACTTTTTACACATATCGTACGATGATAAAAGCAGTAGGTCGGTAACCTGTTGTCGCATAATATGGTATTGCCAAACAAACAAACAAAAAAATCATAATCAATTCCAATCAATACATATGTAAAACATATCGAATGTAATAAAAGTTGTATGCATTATATTTTTCGATTAACGAAGGTACAACACGAACAAAAAAAGGGGGGATCTTTTTCGTTAGATTTGACAAAATATAGAGGTTATCAGTTCAGGTCAGATTTGTTTTAGTTTCTTTCACGAGTAACGTAATTGCTCAAATGTTCTGATAAGAGAGAATTAGACAAATCGCGTGATAAAAAAAAAGATGCACAAGTCGCAATAAAAATGGGCATGATCAGCAAATTATGAACTAAGAACCACGCAACAAATTATAAAATGATAAAACATCGTGACACATCAATGTTTTCAAAGGATTATCTTCTCACGAGTCATTTAACTGCTTAGATATTCAATAAAATCTATATCTTTTATTTATTTGCAAAACGATAATGTAAAACTGTGCTCTAGGTTACTCTCGATTTTAACTTTCTTCGTGCATATCTATACTTTCGTCTTGCGATGTTGAATTTAAAAAAAGAATTCACATATTTAACGATTACGATTAATTCCATGGGAACTCATTCTTATAACACATTCAACAAAAGCTAATTGTAACCAACATTTCCCATATCTTTGTTTTGTTTCAGATTGCAAGCAGCAGAAGAGCTCTCATTTATCACCACTTTTTCCACCAATGGTGAAATAAAACTTTTCGAATGTATTTATGCACGAAACAATACAAACAAATGCAACTACGTTTGAAAAATGTCATAAGAAACTCATGAATTCTTTACAACACTGTGAAATGGCATTTCTGTACTTATACAAAGATTCTATAGTTATAGAAAGACACCGCGGATAAATAGATATTTAATGCTTCGATAATAAGAAATTTTATAATATTCGTTACGAGTTTAGTATGTCCTCACTTACAGTTTGCAACCTCGCACTCCACTACGCATATCCTTCGAATGATGGGTTCCCATTGGCGATTAATATAATTCTAATTTATTAATAAAATTCAAAAGAAATAATAGAGCATAATTTAATAAAGATCTCGACTATGACTTGATAAGAAACACTATGTTTCTGCTCCGTAAAGGAATAAGAACCTTTTCTACGTAAATCACTTTTGTTTAGTGAAATCGATTCTACCAAGCACGGATAGATCGCAAACGTGACTGACGTGCACGTAAACTAACCAAAGCATTTGTGCGCCTGCTCATTTGTTGCAACTTCGTCATCGTAGAAATCGGCCTTAAGAACGTCGTTTTATGGGGCAGGAAGGTTATTCAGTTTGGAAGGAAAAGTAGCAAATCGCGTAAAATTGCGATTTACAATAAAAATTAAATGCCACCTATAGCTGTTTACTAAATTATTATATTTCGCGTTAATTTATATTTTTTCTATGAAACAGTAAGGAATAAAATGTTTAATAATTTACGAAATGAAAACATACATTATAACATACGCATATAGTGGGAAGTAGTGTTACGTAATAACAATGTTTGAAGGTACACTTTCATAATTCGTGCATTTAAGCAGATAAAAGTGCAAGTTTCATAATTGAAAGAATATAATGATCGGTTTTATTAATTTCTGATTGATATTATACCATTATTTTCTTTCTCTCGTGATAACATGTATGTCAAATATACATTCATGTGGCATTAATCAACAGTCGATAAAGTTATAATTATGTTTAACACGTGTACATGTAATTTAACATTTTATCGCATATAAGAAATACGAAATTTATACTTTGTATGTTTACATTATGACATATTATCGGAGAAAGTAACTACGACTAAACAATTAAGGAGCTTTTTATTATTAATAAGAAAATAAACAAGAATGACAATAACACATATAAAGAATTGTAACAAAGAACAATATTAAAAAAAAAAAAAATTACAAAAACAGTATCATAATAAAATCCTGAATAATGTTTATGTTTACAAGCATGTCAAACACAAATAAATTTAAAAATGACACACATTAGAGGATACTGAAAACCTTTCAAATATTTATCAAAATACTATTTTTTGTTGACGATACACTTGATGATACTAAGGCCTTTTACTATAGGTTATCTGTCATGAATTTCCTATCACATGCAGGAGTAAAGGTGGGAAATGAAACAATGATAAAAACTGTGATTAATAATATGTGACATAACTACGTCGCCAAATTTTAATACGAAAATTTTAACTCCTTGGACTATCACTCAATATAAACTATATATAAATTATATACATTATGAAACGTTGTATTCTATAATCTTCTATACAAACATACATACATAAAAATATTAACGAAATCGTAAAGTACTGAAACTTAATCGAATAATGTACGAATGATTTGGATTATTTTTAATGTAAAATTTGTACTACATTATGATTCGATTGTTTAGGTTAAACTTACTTCTCTGCACAAATATCGACATTTCTCAAATGAGCTGCAAATTCTGTACATCTTGACCTAAGACCAAATAAATTTAAAAAAGTTCACATTGCTTAGATTTGATTAAACTTACTGAAAATATTCCATGTCTGTTGATATCCTGATGCCACATAAATATCTCAAATTAAATATATGTATGTCGATAGCAATAGAAACCTTCATTTATTTTCTGAAATTAAGAAATATTCTCTTGTTTACAAATGAAACTTTTTAAAATTGCAAAAGTAAGTATTCGTGAATATATGTAAATATATTTACAATTACTATTTAATGATCACTATTTTCCAAAATAAATGAATGAATTAATTGATACGACGTATTTTTTATAAAAAGAATTCCTTTACATTCTAGTAATATTTTTTTCTTTTTTTTTATGACAGATATACACAATGCAGAAATTTGTTATGGGAAACATAATGTAACATACTATCGTTTACAAATTGACGACGATGCATACAATATCGATAGACACATGTAGGCAAGAAGCCAGATTTTTATTTTAGGATACGTATAATTTAGAATATTAATAGTAAAGGAAGTGTAATTATAATTGTACTACTGATATTGGACAAATAAATATTTTGAAAAGTTCGTAAAATTTCATTTTTATACATTCTACTTGACACTTAATATTTATTTCTCGAGACAATGATCATTTTTTTAAATTTCGAGTTATGTTAAATTTCTTCTCGATCAATACGTATATTATACTATTTATTACTTATATTATACGTATATTATACTACTATACGTATATATATTATACGTAGTATACATTTATTATTTATTATAATGTAAATGTAAAGAAAAATATGCATAAAATATTTATTTATTTTAACATTTTTCTTTGAAAGTACTTAGACTGTACATTTTTATATTTCACTTAACCTAATTATTTTTATTCAATCAGCTTATTATGTGTACATCGGGTTTCTACAAATGAACTCGATTCACAATTGGAACATATTCTACATACAATGATCCTATTATCGTTTGCTACCTATGCGAAAGTAAACCACACTTTCACCACTACATACGATAATTGCTTATTAATCATGCAATGAGCCCGTACCAGTGAAAGTTGAAGCTGATTGCAAAAACGCTCTTCATCACGTAACAGTAAAATTTTTCGTACGTTTATTAATTGTAGTTCTTCTAATATAATATCCGATATATTTATTATGAAAAATATCGACTAGAAATATCGTGCAAAAGTCAATGTTGTATATGTATATCATTACAACATTTACGCTAAATGGAATTTGCACTGATACGTAACTGTTGTGTAACAAATATGGAATGAAAATTTATCAGATACTTTGTAATGGGTGCGAATAATATTAGTAAGTACGTGATTGAGTCTTAAAAACCGATCAGTCAGGTCTTAGTTCAAGGTAGCATAGAAAAGATTGGTTGTAGTATTTGTTATTTATAAATCAGTTCGATTGTGTCTAAATTTTAAGGAACAAATTGTAGTTGAAATATCTATACGTATATTGTTGTTGACAATTATATAGTAATTAGATAGTAACTGTTAATAATAAAATATCTATATTTATTTATATTAGTCATTTTTGGATCTTTAATAAAATACTGCTAACTAATATTGCTAAATATTGCTAACACTACATATAGGTAAAAAAGTAGATTAAATTTTATTGAAGTAAATAAAGGTTTAAGTTTGCTAATATTTCTTATTATCTTTACAACAAAAGTGGGTCCAGAAAGGAATCAACAGATTATTTTGATATGAAGTAGTGTTAGCATTTTACTAAAATAAATATTACATAATTGAAATGTTACATACTTCTTTTTAGCTTGAAGTGTAATAAAAAATATAACTATTTGTAAAATATTCAATAAAAATAAATTAAAAATAAGCATTATATTAAGTTAATATTTTATTATGTAAATTATTTAATAAATAATATACTACGTTAATAACTAATGCGAACGTTTATATGGGAATTTTTATTTAATTTTCAATATTTTTAAATATATATTAATTTATTAATTATATATTGTTTTAATTAATTTATTAAAGCGTAAACGTTACATGGCTCGTTGGTCTAGGGGTATGATTCTCGCTTCGGGTGCGAGAGGTCCCGGGTTCAAATCCCGGACGAGCCCAAGTAGTTTCATTTTGTTCTCACGTAATTTTTGGAATCTTAATTCTATTTTTATTAGATTAATACTCTTGTCGCTTAATACATCTTATTTAACAATATTTATTTTCACTTTTGTAATAATGGAATATTCAAAATATATTTATATCATTGATTACTTCGTGGAACTAGGTAAACATCAAACATGGCGATGACATGGAATTCATCGAAGAAACATAGTGATCGTGAAAGGTATTTCTGTTAATACATTAAAGTATTTATCGCATTATTTCCTGTTTCATTTTTATGGAAATATTTAAATAATTGATTTTACATAATACATTTTATTTCCTATACGTCCTATATGCATACCATCTGCTACATAACCTTGTTAACTTGAGACTGACAGTAGTACAATGCTTATATTATTTGTATTGCAGGTGGATTTGTATTTATCCAGTTTATATAAATAGTAAAAGAACTCTAGCAGGAGGCCGAAAACTTGCAAAAGATAAATGTGTTGAAAATCCTACACATCAAGAGATTCGAGATGTATTGGTAGCAGCTGGTTTTAATGTTGGAGTAGAAAACAAATTACATCCACGAGAGCGTAGTAAAGAATTATTATTCCGCGGACGTATTCGTGTTCAACTGAAAAATGATGATGGCACTCCTGTAAAACCTGAATTTCCAACTAGAGATTCTGTTTTAGCCTATGTAGGCACTACTATTCCAAAATTAAAAACTCGTCAAGGAAAACAATCAAGTGGTGAGCAATCTTCTCAGCCATCAAGTTCATCAACAAAGAAAGGAAAAGGAAAGGGAAGGAGGTGATAAAAAGAAATAAGCATACTAGAACGTAAAAGTATTTTTTGCTTATGTATATTTCAGTGTTAAAATAAGAATTATTCTCATGTACAAAAAGAAGTTATATTACATTTTGTATAAACCTTTTAACAAACAGTTTTAAACTGTATACTGTTCATCCATAATTGCAAGTATTTAATACAGTCCTTCGTAATTAATATTATGTTCCTTATCATATATAGTTTGAAACATTTACATTTGAGTTTCAATAGTTTTGTCAATTGTTCTGTTTTATATATAACATTGTCCTAACTATTAGTGGAACTGGTTGAATCTTGCTGAACATTTGACTTATTGTCTCCATAGTTAGAAGACTGTTTCTGTGATGAACCATTAGATGGAGATAGTGGCACTGTTTGTTTATCGTGTGGTACATATTTCACAATATAACCATTAGGCTCAGGATGAGGTATTGGAATATGAGAATGAATCACATTTGATAACGGAACCTGTAAATTTGAAGTATTTGTGATATTTTTTGGAGTTAACTAACAATTATAACAAAATAGTACATACATTGTTATGAAAACCTATAGGAGCTAATCCCACAATAGGTGGATGTGACCCAACTGGATACATAAAATTGTTCTTAAGGTTTTTTCTTACTTTAGCATGCTTTAACTCCTGAAAGTATGAAACATAATGTTTAATTACAAAAATATATAAATTACATTACATTATATTCTTACTTTATTGACACTTCCAAGAAGTGGTCCATGTGGGTGAAACATATTTTGGAGTTCTGATCTAGCTTGCATTAAGCCAGTTATTGGTAAAGAAGCTGTTTTTATCAAACTGCTAGGAATATCATGTAATGCATTAATATGTGGGTGTAAATTAGGATGCATCACAGAATGTAATAAATTATTCCCTAATAGCAAGTGTGGTAGTTTACTTAATGTGTCTAAAGTTGGATGTATAACAGAGTTCAAGTTGCTATGTGGAGGATGTAATGGAGGAACATGTACGGCTCCAACAATGGAATCAGACAGAGTAGTATTTAAATCTTGTTCATTTGTAGATAAATTTGTATTACTACCATTATTTGGGTTACTTATTTCATTTACATTGTTTTCATTATTATCTGATTCACAATTTCTTTCTTTCACAAAATGTGCATGACCCTTTGATGGACCATCAGTGAGAAAATAATTTGCAATTTGATGTGCATCACCTGTAAATTATTAAACAAATCTTAAAAAATAATAATATACTGAAACTTTCATTTTTTCACAAATATGTATTAATTTTTTCTTACCAAGTCTAAGGTGCCGACTAGATTTTGGTACACCACGTGATTTGCGGATATGTTTGATCACATCTTTGGAGGTAGTGATAAAATTAATTTCTCCTAATTCTCTTTTAGAATGTATCATATAATCTAAATAAAAAAATTAATAAATAATCTAATATTATTCTTGTATTATGTATGTAGGAAACTTTATGTATGCAATATATTATTTTGTTTGTTTAATATCCTCATTATAAATTTGTATTACCTCTGTAATCATTGTACACATTAGGGTGGTTGAGCTTTAGTGATGTAAGTGATTGTAATTTATTAAGTTCAACACAAAAAACACCACATGTATATACTATAATATAGTATAAAATAGAAATTAAAGATATTAATTTATATTGCTCCATGTTATATGTAAAAATCTTAAAAGTATTAAAAGATCCAAAAAAAGAATTATGATGGAAATAGTTTGAAGCGTGAACTTAGTACTGGTGTCTGATGTGATCATACCTGAAATTTATTGACTTTACAAGAGAAAATTTGCTGACAGCTTATGAATAACTTTTTTTATTTATAATAACATAAATGCTTCCTTTAATATACGAATTACATCAGATCTTAAACAGTTGAGTAATAATGTGATAATGATTCTTGTAATATATATTTACATTTATTAACTGAAATCATTACGTTTTACTTTCCTTAAATAGTTACTGTCTGTTGAAAAATATCAGTCATTATCTTTTGAAATTCTTCATTCAATTATATTTGAAAATAAATAATGAAGTACCAAAACTTGAAGTCGGAAAAATAAATTCGGCTTGTAATCACTTTATAAAGTATTATGTACTATTAATATTCTTTTGAAACTGAAGAATAAAGGGTAAAAAAATTTATCCTTCCCGTGACAATGTATTTTTCACATTGCCGTGACCAGGATTCGAACCTGGGTTACTACGGCCACAACGTAGGGTCCTAACCACTAGACGATCACGGCTATTGAAGGTGATGCTAGACGTACTTATTTTTTTGTAAACTAGATACATATATTTTTATATATCATATATGTGACAAATTTATTTATGTGTATTTAGAAGAAATAAAAGACTGGATTCATTTAATTTAATTAGTTTGTAGTATACCATATTAAACAATTAATAAAAAATAATGCAACACATTAATTTAATGTGATTAATTTTATAGTGTTCATAATAATAGTGAATTTATATATGAAATAATTTTGTTTAAAATAATGATAACTCTTATTAAAATTTATTTAAAGGTGTAAAAACGCAAATTTTAATTCATAAATATTTCATTTTTTATGGTATGTCGCATTTTAATGTATTGATATAAAGAAATTTCATACATCTGCTTTATCGATCTATTCTACATCTCTTTCCTCTATGATGTTGTTAGTACACATTTTTAATATCGCAATCGGTAATGTAGTTATTTACTCGTTGAGTCTTCCATACTAACAGTAATTAGAATTTACATTCATAGATGGAGATAAATGTATTCTTAATCAGGAAGAAGAAATGGCTCCTCGAGTTTCCTAGTTTTCTAATAATGTCCGGCTTCCAGCGACCGCCGTTGCTACCGCGGCGTCGTGGTTTAGCAATAGTGTTTTACTTATGTAAAAAGTAGCTCATGTAAAAATGTTCTAAACATGGAAACTTTTTACGTCGCTTGACGAGGGGAAGATGCATGGACTCCTACAACTGTAAAGACATGGACTTTGAACGCAGCGACATATCGAGACGAAAATTCCCGCGTAAATTGTACTCAGGCATGTATCTATTTCATGCAGGCACCACCTATTTCTATAGTTCTCTCTTGAATATTCGATATAATCTTTGGAGCTACATATGAATTTTAAATGTGTTATAAAGGTAATGAGAGAGGTATTTCTGGAATGTATATTACTGTTGTATTTATTTGAAAACCATACAAGTGGCAATATGCTTTTCTTTTGTGATTAACATAAAATGTTTAAATATATAAATTTGATAAGCAAACACTGATTATGTTGTAGAACTTTCTGTAATTACCGATGCACATCTACGTAGAGATGCTTGAATACAGCCCTGCAAAGGCCATATAACACATAACTATCTTGCACAGTCTGCTTTCCTAGTAATGAGAATCTCCAAAAGAGTCTACCCCCAACAGCGTTGATTACATGATATTCCTGTATCGTTCTCTTCTTTCATTTCCTTTAATGCTCTCTCTTATCCTACAAATTAGATTACATAGAATAAATTAGATTTTAAAAAATTGATTGTAACATTTGTGTGTATACATATATTAATTTATAAACTAGGTGTATTTGATTAACTTTTCAGTGCAAGTAAATGCAAATTGTGCAAACAATTTAATTGAAAGATTTTATTTTAGTTAAATATACGCACATGCGATTGTTCCTACATATGGATACATTCTGTTGATACGGGGGTGACAAACTAATCTCTCTTATCGTATTCTTCAGAACCGATTTTCTTTCATGAGATTCTAAATCATTGATCGTATTATGTTAAAATAGTTTTTTTATTGAAATGTTTTACGAGCGTGTTTTACAAGTATTGCGTTTTCTTAATGATCTAATTTTTTGGAAGACAGAGTAATTCAGTAATTCTGTCTTTCAGGTTCATATTTTGGTCGAATAACTCTATAAGAATCACCGAATGCATATTACAAAAAAGGAAAAATCGTGTTGGACAGGGTAATCATTCAGGAAACTCGATTCTCTTGTTGCCAAAATTCAATTAATGCAAATTTGCACTAGTGAGAAATGTGACATTTCCTAACGCAACGAACGGAAGGAGTTGAGGATGACTACTTAATATTATAGCGGAAATGCTGTTAGTAATTTGAGATTGTACCGGTGTCTACTACCTGGTTAATGATGAAACAAGATTCAATATTACGGACATGGCTGTGACATTATCGACATTAGATATACTTACATATAATTAAATTTATTTTCGTCTTAACAATATTTTTCGTACATTTTACTTTTATTTCATTTCGTTAAGTGCTTTTACAATTTCTTCTTACCTAATTTAAATTTTATTATAATTTAATAATTTATTTATTACTATCATAACTTAAGCGCAGCTTTCTCAATCATCTTTATTAATTTATCAATGGATTTTGCACATTCTTCCACGTTTCTATGATCGATATCGTATACCTAATGTTAAAGGAAAAATATGATGTAATTATTATTGCTTACTTAGATGAAAAATATGAGAGAAAAATAAGACATCATACACGTTTAGCAAACTGTGACTTCAGTTTCTTGTCTTGCAATATCATTTTTTCACCTATTCTAAGATTTTTAAACGTTTTTACTCGCAGAGGTCCGAATTTATTCTGAAACATTTTCACATCACCATCGCAAATATTTTCAAGATTCTGAATTTTGGCGTGTATCTTTCGTTGTCGTTCTCCTAATAAATCCACTTTCTTCGTAAATTTCCTCATATCCTTGTAGCCACGGTAATAATCGTTTCTCATTTTTATCCTAAACTCTTGTTTTATCTAAATATAAAAATAAATAATTAATGTTGGTAATAAAACTATTAATATTGTCCACATATATTATGAATAAAGCTACTGTTCATTACTTATTAATAAAGTTTAACCAAAAATTGTTAATATTAAAAGATACGATAATTATAAAAATAATTACTTGTTCGAGTTCGTTTGCCATTTGAAATTTATATGATTCCGGTAAATCTGGATGTTTACTGAATATCCTGTCGATTCGTGCTTGATTAGATTCCATCCATGCGTCGATTTTTTTGTCGATGCTTTCATTGCCGTAATCGATCAGTAACGATTCTTCTTGATTTACGTTATCGGCGACTCTCGATAAAACCTCTCCACTCCAATACAGAACATGATCTTTTTCCTCTAATATATCGGCCCATGTATGAGGCATACGTCCCACCGTTTGCCCCATTGTTTCTGTACGAGCATCTAACGGCCGAAACTCATAATATTATGCCAATGATTTGTCGGTTCAATGAAAGTCGGGCAAATACCCAGTGTCCTCGGCAATCTATTCCGTGTCAGATTGCTTTGTTTTCGTACGACTTTAACCGAAATTTAGAAACAAGTGCGCGTCGTTCGTGTTGTTTGACAACGTGAATAGTTTTGTTTCCTTTTGGATTCCTATTGTGAGATGTGAGATACATAAACAGGTGTTGGTAGTTTCTGTTTTTGTGTAATTCGTATAACGCGGAATCTTCTTTTGTCTCACGAAATTTATCGATGTACTTATTGGTTATTCGTGTGTGGTGTGTTTGTAACAGGTGTCTCCACACGTTGTAGGAAGAAGTCAGAAACTAGTTCTTGGGGAAACGGAATCACGATATCGTCGAATTGGTATGTACTTACATATGTATGTATATAATTGCGAATGAAATTTCACGTGAATGTAGCCGCGTCCATATTTCGATACACTTCACAAGCTTTTAATAAATGCGAATTTTTAACGAACGATCATCATATAATTCTACAATATTTGTGAATATTGAAAAGTCTGCATCGAGTATCGATAAAACAATTACGATATTTCTAATTTCGTTGGAAGTGAATCATTTTTATGAATATTTTATTCGTGATACTTATTCGTTGCAAACGTAGATACCTGTAATACAAATAAAAATGTAGTTCTCTTCGAATCTTCGAATAACATAATTACAAATACATTTACGTTCTAAATATTATATTTTCGTTTGTTATTCTTTGTGTTACAATCGTGGCTTGAAAAGTTTGTTTTTAAAGTACGAATTGAAAAATCATTCACGTGTCGATATTTATAATTTTGGTGTCAATTAGTGTCTATTTTAATTCAGATTTACAATATTATTTATCATATTTCCTTAATTATGAATTCTACCTGGATTTCATAATCTAGTAATTTAATCTTTCTTTACATTATCTTTTATACAAGTTTCATTTAAACGTAAACATAGCCTGGAACATTATGGTTTGGCGGGTAAATGATGTCCTACTTATTGTCAGTTGCTCGTCGTTCAGTGTTAAACGCATAGATGGCGGTAGAAAAAGAGTGACGTGTTGCTTTCTTCTTCCTTCTCGATCTCCATCTTTCTTTTCTTCTCGTCGCGCTGCTTCGTATTGTTTACCGGCGTGTAAGCAAATAACGCGATCGTACAATGGCTGCAAACTTGGCCTGGCCATCACAAAAGGTCGATTCTTCACGGAGTGTCCGCGAGGATTACATTGAGCGTGATTTCATGCTATCAGACATGGAAAAAGGAACTGGAGCGGACGTCCGGCCGTCTCGAAAGTCCGCGAAATTCAATCGGCGCACGGAGCCCGTGTCGGGGTGTCAATTCAAAGCAACGTAATCTCCGTTCAGCCCGACCAATAATCGGCTTATTGATTTCGATTCGAGGCTAAAACACCGTCCACAACAACGTTCACCGACGCGAGCTATTTTTTTTTTTTTACGTCCTCTGTCTTTTTTAATTGACAATCGAGTTTCTGAGTATGGGAACCAGAGTGAGGTTGGTTTTAATTTATTTTTAGCGACGAACATTCAGAATGTGGTATTTAAAACGAAGAACAGTAGTGGATGCAATTTCATTTTTCCAAGCAGAAATAACTCGCATGCTTATGTAACTGAGATTTTTTTACCAAAACTATTTTTGTTGATTAGATTGAAAGTATTATATTATTATCATTAGAGTCATTGTTAATATTATTATAATTATTTTTAACGAAATATACGAATAAATAAACGAATATTTATTTAGTGAAATTATAAGAGATCAAAATCGTTCTCTAATAAATTTTGTGCACTAAATAAATGAAAATCGATTTAAATTACTCGAGCTTTTATATTTACAGGTGTGTGTAATATTATTTGTATAATTAATATATTTATTTTCAGAAATCTAAAGAAATTGAATTAACTATTATAATTCTCGTAATTAATATTGTATATTGTATTATTTTTACTTTTATTTTTATATATTATTTTTATATTTATTTTTATTTATTATATATATATCTGTCCTGAACTGTAGTTAACCTTAAAGGTTATTATTTAAAGTTTTATTTAATTTAATGTTGGGTATAGTTTATATAGTCGTTAATTTCAGTCGGCTGATTTAATTTCAAGTGATATTTGCGAAATAAACATGCTGCAAGAATGCAATTTTGTCGGATGATTTATCTCGTCGAGCATTATTCCGAAAAACAATTTCCCATAAGAAAAACGCGCGCCACGTAACTCGGTCGATACTTCGGCTCGGCTAACTACATAGCGTGGACGCGAAATTAATATTGGAAACTCGTATCTTACACTGTATTTCAATTTCGTCGGGAGTTAATTAACCGTATGAACTGCGTAGCTGTCGTTTTATTTCCTCTCGTATTTTGCTTAATTTTACTATCCGGCCTTGTTCGTATTGAATTCGTTAAGCGTTGAAGTCCCATGAATTTTTCGATGTGAAACAGAAAATTTAACGTGCGCTAATTAGTTGCGATTTAAACGTCGAAAGCGAAGGTTTTTTGCGCGCGAATTTCGACGGCGAAATTTTTCTCTCGTCTCTCTTATAATACAAACGGAACAGTGATCGCTTTGATCGCGTTTAATTGCCACGGAGATTAATCCGCGTAGTTGCGAATGCACAGATTACCATAGTATTCTGCGCTCTGCATTATCGACTGTGACGCGTAATATTTTTACTTCTGCCACTTGGTAGAGAGGAAGTGGCGGAGGATTTTGCAAAGGGGTTTTATAAATTTCTCGCGTATTTACGAATGTTTCTTTTCCACGCGTTAAATTATGACGTGTTAAGGGAATTTTGCGTTTTGTGGTAACATCGTAGCAAAGACTGTTAATAACGTGGTGTATTAAACATAAAATTATTTATTCGCGTGACATATAGAGATATAAAAATTTGTGGTAAAAATGGAGGACATAGAGGTACATTGTAGATGGAAAATGATGCAATATGTAAAATATTTTATGATATAGATATGATTTATGGTACAATAATAATACATTATTAATAATAATTAATTATAATTATTAAATAGTTAAATAACAATTATTTTATAATTATTCTGCTGTAATTATTATTATACTGTATAGTATATT